TTGGCATTGGCGGAGCGGGGCTGGGCGCCAAGGCGGGGGAACCCGGAGAAGGGAGCGAGGCCTCGGCGGATGTGGTGACCGCCGAGCCGGGGCGACCCCCACTTCGGTCGTTGGCGGGGCCCGTGTCTGTTTTGGTCTTTGGTACCTTGAACTGTAACTTGATTCTCCAGAGAAGCCTTCAGATGTTGGGTACTTGCGGGGATCGACACAAAGACATCCTGCGACCTGCAGAGCCCGCTCAATAGTGGAGGTAGAATTAGGTTTCACCCTTGTAAGGAAGATGATGGAGGCATTGGCGCTTCCTGGGAATAATGAAACCGGGTGTTTATTGAGCGTTAGCTGTGTCCGATCTTGTGCTTTTACGTACATCTCCGTGTGGTCCGGACGCTCCTCTGTGAAGCGGGTGCATTAGCGTCATTTCCCACCTAAGGACACCGAGGCCCGGAGAGGATGCCGGGGCTGGAACGGATTCTTGGTTTGGAAGTGAAGGGAAAGAAAAGTGCTGGAATTTTGTTCTCGCCTTGCTCTTTATTTGTCATTCCTGTAATTGACGACAATTTAGTCTGTTAAAACTGAGACCGTCCATCCGATGGTCTCGGCTTCCAGGGCTGTCCTTCCTGGCTCCCCAGAGTCTGGGCCCGGCCAGGCCTTTTGTGAATCTCAGCCCTACTCTCTCCGGTGGTGACAGTTACCGCCACGACGCCGGTTGGGTCCCGTTTTGTCATTAGGGTGACCGGAGTGTGATCTTTGAAACGCTCATGTAATTTGGTATTAAGATTGATTGCGTTTGAGATCATTTTATTCACTCACAATAAGCACGTGGTTTTATTTTTGTTTTTAACAGAATGGGTCTTAGACTGAATAGTAAGAAACATTTTTACTTTTTCAAAAAATTTTTTTATTGATTAAGTTATTACATATGTGTCCTTATCCCCACGTTACCCCCCATCTCCCTCACTCCTGCCCTCACCCCCCTGTTGTCTGTGTCCATTGGTTAGGCCTATATGCTTGCATTTAAGTCCTTTGGTTGATCTCTCCTCCTTACCCCCACCCTCCCCTCATTTTTACTTTTTAATAGCACTTAGGTATAAGGGGACCATAGTTTCTGTGTAAGGTATTGGAACCTAGTCGTGGTAATAGAGAGAGAAACTGTTTGCAGGGCTACTGCTCAGTGACCCATCCTTCTATTAGTCTCCGCAGGTACCAAACTAATGTCTAGCCAAGAAAGCCATGATGGCGTAACATTTTGGGGGTCATGCTTCTGGCTCTTCAACAGATGCTGTGCCTGGAATCAGAGGATGTGAACGGTGGAGGAGACTTCCCTCTCATTTGCAGTGCTGCCCCATCTGACTTGTAATTGTGTCTTAAAATCCTTCAGCAGCGTACGTGTGCTCATCTGATAAAGTTTCAGTTTTCCAACATGCCCTGTAGTGACTTCATGATCTGTTCCTGAAGCTTTATATACTTGGTCACTCCATACTTTGCATTTTACATATGAGGCACCCTGAACAGTATCCTAAACTCACTTATTTTCATCTTACATTGTAACCACTTACGTTTATACCTTGTCTTCCTTATTAGACTGTTAGTATCCCGAGGGCAGGAATTATTTCCATGTTTGTATTTTTCAGAATGTCAAGCATACTGCCTTGCTTCTAGTAAGCACTTAATAAATATAAGAAGCATGGTGCATCATGGCCTTATGGGAATTATGTCTATGTCCAAAGCTGCTGAAGGAACGTCAACAGTAGGAGTCTGTATCTATATGCTAGCACTTTGCCATTATTCAGTTTATCTCCCCATGCCTGCTCTGTTCTCTTGCTTCTCATCACTCCTGGGGTCCTAAACCGAGTTGTCAAGTAGGTAACATAAATGCATGAACTAAGCCAGGTATAAGAAAAAGGACAGCAGTGATGATAATTGGGGGATAACTGGGAGTATTGGAAACTTAATTTGGAATGGTCAGTACTCATTTCTTGATATGGGCCTTGTTGCCATATCTGATTATTCAAACAAAGTCAGAAATTCAAGCCTCTGATTTTTAAATGTCACCATTTAATTCAAATTGGTTTTGGCATTATTTATTTTCAGTTTTATGGAGAAGAGCACAGTCAGTTGACCATATACCCAATAACCAGATTCACCGATCAATAGGATCTTGCCACACTTTTTTCATTGTAATTGCTTCCCCATTCTCATTTTATGCTGAATTATTTAAAAATAAATCCCAGATATCATGGATTTCAGTCCTGCATACTGCTGCATGAATTTCTTAAAACTATGAACAAAATCACAATGTTATGCAGCTATAATCACACCTCACAAGATTTTTTAAAATATATTTTTATTGATTTCAGAGAGGAAGGGAGAGGAAAAGAGAGATGGAAACATCAATGATGAGAGAGAATCATTGATCAGCTGCCTCCTGTACGCTTCCTACTGGCATTGAGCTGGAAACCCAGGCATGTGCCCTGACTGGGAATCGAACTGTGTGACCTGCTGGTTCATAGGTTGGCGCTCAGCCACTGAACCACACTGGCTGGGCAGATGTGGACATTTTGGGTGGTGTGGGAGGGCAGGGGATGCCATTATTCTGCCTACTGAGATGGTAGTGCCCTGAAGCCTCCATTATAAAGCTTCCCATTAATTTTTCTCTTATGAGTCCATTGATGACTTGTATGAATTTATTGTTTCATTAAAGTTATGAAATTATTTATGGAAGGAATTATATTCCTTCCATATTTATTGGCTGGAATTATTCTTAAAGAATTTAAGACCACTTGGTTAGCCAAAAATTTATAATTCATATAGGAAAGGTAGGAAAAATAGACTTCATTTCTTTTTTTCTTTTTTTTAATCCTCATCCAAAGATATTTCTTTTTTAGAGAGAATAGAAGGGAGGGGGGAGAGAGAGAAACATTGATGTGAGAGAGACACATCAATTGGTTGCCTTCCGCTTGCCCCCCCCACACCCCCACCAGGCCTGGGGATTGAACCTGCAACTGAGGTACATGCCCTTGGCTGGGAATTGAACCCAAGATCTTTCAGTACACTGGCTGATGCCCTAACCATTGAGCAATGGGCCAGGGCAGAATTCAATTCTTTTCATTGACATTTTTCACAGTAAGGCATTCTTGCCCTTGTCATTTCCAGTGTAGTCCAGAGGGTTAACTATTATTCTGAAATTATTTTTTGTTGTTTGTTTCAGTTTTTAGAGTCATTGGTTTAGTCAGTTGCATTCGTTATGTCTCTGGCTCCCTTATCCTTTTGACATAATCCCTGGCATAAGGTTTTGATAGCTTCACTGTTTTGTGGGACAGTAAGGTGTCCTAGGCGCATCTTTTGTATGTCCAACCCCTGATCTGAAGGCAGCTTTTCCTCCAAGGAGTTCTGGTTCCTTTTTGTGAGGAGTGGTATTTTAGAGACCACAAGCTGGGTATTATTTTTAAAATTTTAATATACTATGTAGGCCACAGAATACATTTGTGGGTTTGATCCAGCTCTTTATCACAGTTTGCCACCTTTTTCATAGTATCTGTTCGCTCAGTTGTGCTTTCTCTTAAATTTTGACCACTTGTGGACCAGACTCTGCCTCAGTGATTCTCTCTGTGCATCATTCAACTTCTGAAATGCAGCCCCTGAACGTAAAAATATCTGATTGGTTCAGCTCCTTTTATGCCAGGCCACATTCTGGGTCTTCTCTTTGGTCATATGTCCATCCTTGGTTCAAGCAGCAGGAGTTTGGGTTGAGGTTAGGAGAACTGGAGACTTTGTGTAGTGCAAAACCTGGTCAACTGGGATTGGCATTTAGCTGTTGCTCTGAATGAAGCAGTCTCTCTTAGAAGAATATAGTGCCTTGATTGAGCTGTCTAATCCACTTTCTTCCTGTCAAAGAGCACTTTAATGTCCAATAAATACATCAGTGTTATCATATGTCACTCTATGTTGTACTGTGAGTTTACCCATCTCCTCATAGACTAAAAGCTCCTTGAGCAGAGACTATCTCATTCATCATTGAAATGCTTGTGTCTAATACAGTGCCTGGCATATATTAGGGCTTCAGTGTAAGGGATAAATGAACATAAATGAATTGTCACTATCCTAGCCTCATCTCTGATCTTTCCTTCTCCCTTTCTCTTCACTTCCTCCTCCCACTCCCAACTCTAGCTGTACTGAACACCTTACAGTTATTTGAATACAATGTTCTCTTAATCTGGACCAGTCTTTGCCCATACTCCCCTCCTGTTTGCTCCCATTACATCCTGTTTGGTAAGGCACTTTTCATGTATTATGGTGCTTACTTTGTGAACTCCTTGATGTCTTATTCACCTTTGAGTCCTCAGTTTAATGTATTATATATGCATTATTGTACAACTAAGTTAAATATCTTAGTGTTACTGAGGAGCTATGTGGTACATTGGAAAGAGACTGGACCTGGAGTCAGACAGTTTTGGGTTTAAATCCCAGCAGTTCACCACTTACAGGGTGCATGGTCTTGGGGGAATTACTTAACCCTTTCCTTGGGCCCTTATCTATAAAATGGGGATGATAGATCTCAAAGAATTGATAGAAGGACTTATTGAGATGTGTTCTTTATTGCACAGGGCTCATTATGGTAGGCCATAGATATTAGTACTCTTCTCTCTTGAATGATAATTGACTTGCTAATCTGACTTCCCAGTCATATATCGTTGTAGCGACCAGTTACAGAGTATTTTAATGGGAGGAATTCTGAGTATTTTGTTTGTGATTCTTCCATTCACTCAGTAAATATTTAATATTTAGTATATTCCAGACCTAGCTGGGGATATGGAAATGAACATCAAACAAGGTCCTT